CCCCCTAAAAAAAATCCTGGCTACGCCACTGAGTGTTATTCGACCTCGCCAAATCGCTGAGTGGTATTGTGGAACCGCTTCAACTCTAATTTTTGTAATTTAAAAAAGTATGCTAGACGAAGTTTTTGTCAAAATGTATTGCTATATTATATTGTACAGAATAGTTTTATAATATTATTTATGTTCAAATTAGTTATTAACGAAGTTTTATATTATGTATTAAAAAGAAATAAATTTTTTTTTCAAATAATGGTTTGGAACATGCTTGGTTCATACGTCATGTTTTTTTTCTTCAGAATATACATTTAGTGAAAAAGTGGCTGCCGACGCTTGAAAAGAAAATGGAACTACTCGGAGACACTGCTCATCCAAGCTATAGACTATTTTTAAGTGCTGAACCGGCAGCTACGGCATCGGCACACATTATTCCACAAGTACCTAACTTTATACATTTACTTGTAGAAAGCTAATCGGAAATAGATGTTTTGGACAGCGATTGAAAAACATTGTTTTAAACTCTGTAAATTATATTCACTTAGCATGGGATTTAATAGGAAACGCTACTTAGTAAAATGTTGGCTTACCCCTGACGACTTTCAAATAGAATAAAACTAATATCATTAAAAAAAAAAAAAACTTTAGGCAAAACTGCTTGTTATATAGTTAACTACTACATATATAAAGTCAATAAATTCGCTTTAATCTATACACAAAAATAAATAATAACTAATATAGATTTCCCATTAATATAGACAGCTATAAAACATATTTAAATCTATTAGTAAAATGCCAGGATTATATTGTTTTTATAATATTATTTTCTATTATGACATTAGGGMATTTTGGAATCGTGTATCAAAATTACGAACGAACCGCCTACAGGTATGCAAGCAAATTTGCACAAGGCGCTAGAAAATTTCAATCAAGAAACACTGGAGATGTCATCCAAAGAAGCCGAGTTCAAAGCGATCCTATTTTCACTTTGTTATTTCCACGCCGTAGTCGCCGAACGTAGAAAATTCGGTGCGCAAGGGTGGAACAAGATCTATCCGTTTAACGTCGGTACGAATACCCTTATTGCCAAACGTTTAAATAGTGTCTCGATCCGTTGGCCTATGCACGCTCAACCTTTATTAAAATAGTATCTCACCAYATTTTTTTCCGTTCAGGTGACTTAAATATAAGCGTCAGCGTGCTGTTTAACTATTTAGAAGCAAATAACAAAGTTCCATGGGAAGATCTACGGTATTTATTTGGAGAAATCATGTACGGAGGCCATATAACAGACGATTGGGATAGAAAATTGTGTATATCATATTTGGAGGAACTGATGCAGCCTGACCTGGTAGATAAATCTTGATTTGTTCATTTGAGTATAAAACATAATATCTAATATACCTATAGCWTAATATATTTAATTTAGTGGGACTAGTGGGAGTGGCTAAACCATTATTAGGCTAAACTGAATTTAATTATTATTTTTATTTTAATCTTATATGACAAATTTGAAAATTTKAATTAGAATATTTCTAATTTTTTTATTCGAATTCAAGAATCCCTAGAATTGAATATTAATATTTAAGTAATGTTATCCGTATTCTGCGCTAAGACCGTGAACGTTTCTTTTTGGCCACTCCTCCGGTATAAAATACATGATACCTATATTTTTATACGAGATCTAATGGGTGTTTGACTCTGGTATTAACCTTTTACAAGCGACAACAAATCGAATTATCTTACCTGTATACCTCTTTTAGATCGACGGTGATCTTCACCTCGCTCCGGGTTTCCCCGCACCACCTAACACAGATTATCAAGGTTATCACAACTACATCGACGAAGTCTTACCTGCCGAGAACCCTGTGCTATACGGCTTGCACCCTAACGCTGAAATTGGATTCATGAGTACAACTTCCGAGAATTTGTTTCGCACAGTATTCGAAATGCAGCCACGGGAAGCTGGTGCGATCGGAGGTACGAACGTTACTAGAGAAGACAAGGTAAGCGCCTCGAAACATTATAATATAGGTCATATGTAAAACCTCCGTCTGTAACGAACTAATTCCCGGGATGGAAACACGATAGGCTAAGTCTGGGCATCTGGCTCTAAGTTACAGATGACCTCGACACTCTTCGTGTCGAATATTTATCCCAYCAACTATTTTTATCGTAAAAAATATATAATAATGGTCTAGAGTAAAATAAAATAATTTTAATAAATGTGAACGAGTAATTGTAAAAATTTAAATATTTAGTTTTTTTTTTTAAATATGTTTTTAGGTTAAACAGATTGTCGACGAAACGTTAGAAAAATTACCTGAAGAATTCAACATAACTGAGATGATGGGTAAAGTCGAAGAAAGGACACCTTATGTGATTGTAGCCTTTCAAGAGTGTCAACGGATGAATTTCTTAACTAGCGAAATGAAACGGTCTCTGAAAGAACTAGAACTTGGACTTAAGGTAAACGTGTGAATTATAATATGTTTATGATTAACAGTAAAAATTAACTATATTTTTAGGGTGAATTAACCATTACTTCGGACATGGAAAACTTGGAAAACGCCTTATTCTTGGACCAGATCCCTTTGGTATGGACGAATCGAGCTTATCCGTCTTTGCTAGGTCTTGGAGCATGGTTTTCCGATCTTCTACTACGTATTAGAGAGTTGGAAACATGGACCACTGATTTTGTCGTGAGTATGCGTAATTAAATATATAATTGTATATTTTGAAAAGGAATATAGTTTTACCTTTTGCACATACAGAAATCAAAAACTACTTAACTTTTCGTTAAAAAAATAAAACGAATGGAAACGTATTTGTACGTTATGAAAAAATCTTAATATTAATATAATACAATCAATGTAGGTTATAATGGTATGTCGTGTATGTATTTAATATAATAATATGTGATGTGATGATGTCACACGTCAAATGTTTAATAAGCTATAGTTATGATACATTTTTAAAGATATGACTTTTTATAAAATTATTTTACTTCAGATTAAATCATTTAAATTACATATGACCATTTAAAAACACATTTAATGGTTTCCTGATGGTGATAAAATGAAGAGTATAAGATGTATAGATATTTTAGAGTTACATATGTAATTGTAACTACCTTAAATTATCCTAAAAAATATAGGTAATAATATGTACGTTTCAAGACAATTATTAGAATTAATCGGTAAAAATTCATTGTGCACAAGTGTATAGTTAAAAATTACTTATAATTTACTATTATTTRACGGATAATATAYTTATATGTATATTATACATACATAATAATTACAATAGATTAAGAATCTTTATGGATTAAGAAAAAMATTGTAAAAATAATTAACAACTAATTTCCGATGTTGCCGATATTTATTAGAAAAATAAAAATAATAATAAAATAATTGCAATAAAATGAACAATATAGGTATCAAACAAATGATAAAATTGTTAATGTTCAAGGTTCCCACATCAGTTTGGCTTTCTGGATTTTTCAATCCACAATCGTTTTTGACGGCGATTATGCAGAGCACAGCGAGGAAACACGAATTGCCTCTCGACAAAATGTGTCTCCAGTGTGATGTGACGAAAAAGCACAAAGAAGAGTTTAGGTAAKTGWTTGACATCTCTAATAATAAATAATAATTATACCTGATACGTGTATACATATGCAACTTAAACGGCCAACAACAAAGTAGTTTATTTCTGTATACTTACCGAAAACGATTTTCCAGTGGAGCCGCCAGAGACGGAGCTTACATTCATGGGCTTTTCATGGAAGGCGCCCGATGGGATGTAATGCAAGGAGTCATAATGGAATCTAAACTCAAAGAGTTATTCCCTCAAATGCCGGTGATTAATGTCCGAGTAAGTTTATAAATACATTTTAAAGTAAATTGTACAAATAATTCTGGAGATGTGAGTATACAGTGGTATACAGTAACACAATAGGTATACGAGGTATTATACATATATATTATATGGTATAAAAACTACTGGTAAAACTATTTTATGCGAATTGTATAGAAAAGAACATATTATTAATATCATTAGAAAATTAGTTTTATATGTTTTAAGGTTATAATTTACTGTGAATTATAATTTGTAACTAGAAATATTATTATAAATATAAATTATTTCTAATCGCTAGGCATATCAGGATTGGAAACATGATGGCTATTAATTTACTATGAAATTGTTAAGGCGTTTTCATATTGAGTTAACCTGTCACCTTTGTTTAATTTTTTATGTTTAGTAACGGCCAAGTTCTAAGTGGTAAAATACGGTACTGTAGATTTATACAAACAAAAATAAAATACCGTATTTTATCATCTCTCGACCATTCGTAAACAAATACCTACCTATACAATTTGGTGTACCTATACACATCATGATATTCCATTACCTATGACTTATATAGTTACAGTTAAAACGATGTACGTATCGTCAGCTATAGTTTGTCTTAAATCTTKATGACGTTCAGAAATATGTATATTATGCATAATATATATATTTTAATATAACATACTTTTATTTAGCGCATTTTACCATACGTTTGTTATGTTGAACTTCCAGGCGATTACACAGGACAAACAAGATTCACGGAACGTTTACGAGTGTCCTGTGTACAAGACTAGAACGAGAGGGCCGACGTATGTGTGGACTTTTAGTCTTAAAAGCAAAGATAAATCATCCAAATGGACATTAGCCGGTGTCGCACTTTTGTTACAATTATAAGTTAAGTTATACCAACATCTATTTCGTTTAATATTATATTAAAGCCATAGATTATCACTTGAAACTTATTATATCACGAACTTGTTATCTACACTTAAAATATTATTTTTACTATTATTATTTTTGTTAAAACCTGATCGTGTTAAAAATATTCATGTTTAGATATTTATTAATTTGGAGTGAATATATAATAATACAACTAATAACTAATAAGTAATAACGTAATGACTAGGACCAGGATTTGTATGCAGAAATTATTGTTAAATATGCACATACTTACCTATTTATACACTCAAAAATAACTTATGACATTGAACGAATTTAATAATAGTAGTAAATATACCATCATAATATTATATAGCACAATATATCTACCATTCTACCCTTAATTCAATTTAGATAAAAATAAATCTAACGGATTGTGTTATAAATGGTAACAATTATTATTCGGCGATGTCATACTGCAGAAAGATCTTTCATTGTAATTTCAAATGCATCGATACAATACATGAATTTAATTCTTATAAAAAGGTTTTTTTTTTTATTTATTATGTTAAAATTAAAAAAAAAAATACATCAACAGAATACATATCAATAATTAATCATAAGTACGTTTAACAGTATAATTGTTTGATATTTATAACGGAACATATTTATATGCATGGTGTATCACGGAGTTCTGACATACACGCCATATGGATATATATGAGCCATAAGYCAGCATTTTGCAATACCTACACCCTATATAGTAACTTTATCATGAACAAAAAAATACATAATATAACAAACTTTTAAGAAAAACCAACTGCGCAAAACGTAATAAATAAACACAGTAACGTCGTACATATGATGTGAGCTTCGCCTTCGCTTAATATTGTATGACGGAATGCAAGCCCGCTAGCCTTGGCGTTTGAACAATTTATGTTCGTATAATACAGCGAATAAAGGGTATAACAATAAGGATAGAATTTAAAAGGCACATATAATAGCCGGCCAGTACGGTGCTATATGTTGACGTATTTCACCGGTTTAAATATTTTAAGTGATGCGTAATAATAGTATTCAATTACAATGATGATGATAATAGTAATAATAAKAAAAAAAAAGTAATAWTAATAATATTAAGTAGAGAAAAAAAACGTCGTTCACGATTTGTTAAACAGAATAACAATGTTACTGGTACGAGTGCGAGTTTTACTTGTTGAGTTTTCCTTCCATGAGTGGAGCGTTCGGAAGACGATAGATGTAAATTGTATCGGTTTGGGAGGACGGTTGGTCAGCAGCGTTTATGCGGTTTCCAATATCGCCATTCCCGTTGTTGTTTCCTGAAGGATCCCTGTATGGTATCAAGTCGCTGTCAGAAACCTTAGGACAGCAATTTACATTGTAACTGCCACACGGTCTCGGGTGGGCGGAAGGCTTGTTGTTTATGATCTTGCACATTTGGTTAAACATGCAAATACCTGTCGAACCGTTACTCATGACGCACGATTCACCTGTACAAAAAAAACAAATCTTTCTCTATTCCATCGATRTTGGTATACCGGGTTGCATAAACAATTTCTAAATATCTAGCCAATAAATCGGTAAGTTGATGGTCCCTCTTACTCCCTTAAACATGATTTTGTGGTCCCATGGTTGGCCCATTAAATGAATACATTTATAGTGTAATTTRGCATTATTGTATAAAATATTGTACAGTGAAATCTCTATATAGTGGACAGTCATGGGAAATTAAAAAAATGTCCACTATGGGAATTGTCCACTATTGAGAAAATTTCTGCATAATGGACATTTGCTAGAAATTACTAAACGTCCATTATAGGTAAACGCTGTAAAGAATTGGTTATACATTTACACATACATACATTGAATTTAGTACATTTAAATTTATTATTTATTATATAAACAATATGTATGTATTTAAAAGCGGATATAACAATGTTTATGTACAATTAAATATATTTGTAATCTTTTTTGTGCAATTTTTTTTACCATATGTACATATATTGTGATAATTTATGAGAGGTAGTTCTTAATTTTGGTACCAGCTTTAAGTGGCTGTGTCCACTATTAGGAGGGTCCACTATTAAGAGGTTATAACTCCAATATTATGTGCGTACATTTTTCTTGGGGAATTTAAAAGGGTCCATTATTGAGAGATGTCTATTAATAAAGGTTTCACTATAAATCATTTCGATAGATCTATGGTCAGACATTTAAATAGCATCACAGTAATCCTACAATTTTAAAATTACCACATTATCCACAGTGGTTCAATGTGTAATCTCACAAAATGAGACTTCTGATTTTGATTATGGAAATTGACGAAATAATTTTTGTACGCAAAAAACCATGGTGGTTGTATACTTATTCAACAACGGGTAGTTTGTAGTATTTGTCATTTTGTCAAAAAACCAAAGAGTGTTTTCAAAAAGTGTGTATTGTTTTGAAAAAACCCTTATACTACCATTGATTCAACACTTTATTTGGTTGGAGCCAATAATGTTTTTGGGCTGTTAGAAATTGAAAAAAAATATTTAAGAAATAGTTTATCATAGAAATTTCTTGAAGCCACCACCAAAACATAAATTGAATGCAGGGTGCTTCAAAATGGGGGAACAAGTTAAAGTCGGGTACCTACTGCTCGAAATTTCCTTGAGTCTCATTTTCTAGCCTTTTGAATAAATTTTATCAGATATTTYAGAATTTTGGCCTCCATCGTGGTACCATATTTGTATAAATGCGTTTACCATATTAATTAATTTACTTTAATTCTAAATTGGAAAATGCAATTTATTTAATAATTATATAATAGTTCAATTTTTTGTAATTTTTAATGATWAATTAAAAATAAATAAATAATTTGAATGGTATGTACTAGCATTATTAACAATAATTTACCTATTTGATTTCTTATTTGTGGGACCCACACACACATAGTCATCATTGTGTAACTTACCGCATAAGTCTTCGCACATTTCTCTAGTCTTTGGTAGGTCTTTGTTTTCAGGACAAACGTTTACTCCCTTCGAAGAGTACAGAGGTCGGCAAGATTTGAACATCGAGTGGTAAAACCATCCGGATAATTCCCAGTCCAAAATCGGGTACACTGAAGTATTACAATTGTGTGTCGTCGGGTGGTGGCACCTGGGACCTTGGAAAAAAAAGTAATTATTATGTCAGCAATTTTGAATGATTGAACCTTTTCTATTGAATCTTGTGCGTGTGTTGTATTCACCAAAAACCATTTGGCGTCAAAAAATACGAGTACCTATTCAAAATTAAAGTTAAGCTKTGTAATCAGTAAAAGATGAACTCAACATGCCGTATAACTGATATAGTAAAATAAATTATCAATATAATTAATATGAAATAAACTTTTTTAAGCTGATAGATTTTTTCCACTCAGAATCGTTTTTTTTATATGCAATGATTTAACTTTGAATCCATGACAGTGACCTACTCAATAATTAAGTACCTACACGTCCTACACATACAACACCTACCGTACAGCATAGTGGTAAATTATCGCCTACTTTTTTTTTTGTACTATTTTTAAAATAGGYACTGGGCTTTTGAAGTATGAAATAATATTATGATTTTTTATATTACACCATAAAAAATAATTTGAAAACAATAAAAACTTTTTGATTTGTATAGTATACAACAAAAATGTATATTTTATACATACAATAAATTAAGTTTGTCGATGACTCTCTCTCTCTCTCTCAAATTACTATTTCATCCTTGTGAACTTAATTAATATACTTTTAATCATTCCAGAAATAATATATARTTATTTTATTATACATTTTAATTATCAGTAAGGTCAGCACGATTAAGGTATCTAATACTCGCTACTATATGTTCTAAGTGTACAAAATATTATATAAGTACCTGGTATAAAAATAAAATACAATTCATCATTTTTTTGCAATCAAAATATATAAAGGTTTAATAGAGTACTATGACAGTATCGAAATAATATATTTATACAAATCAAGAATATTAAAAAATACGAAATTATATATATTAACTGGTGAACGTATTTTACAAGTAGTACCTACTTGACATTGCATTATTTACATTATAGTTTAACTTTAATCTATTTTATTATGTGTAACCGTGTTGTTAGTTTGTTAACATTTTTTTTTATAAATACATATTTTGACAATTCAGATTTGAAATGATTGTCATTTTTTAGTGTATTGTTTAATCAATTGAAACAGTATGTTTACTTCAAACTTGGCTGTAAACTATAACTTATCAGTATTTTTAAGAGAACGTACCCGCATGTGTTATCTCCATCTTACAGGTACATTATTATAGCAAAGACTATTTAGCGCGGGATAGAATCACTCAATCTGTACCCTTAGTAAAAACACTAAAAGTTWACACAATATAGAAGATACTATTTTCTATTACGTAGTGTTTTATTTTTTTGACATTATTAATAATAAGATTAATAATAATTCTATAATATTATAAAATTACTATTTAGTTTAACACTTTTGAGTAGAACAATTGATATAAAATGTTATGCTTTAACATATTAATTTTGCGCACGTCAGCTTTCAAATCGATTAAAAATCAAGTAATATCCTTATTTTTATTTAGGTATTGTCTTATTAAATTATTTACCTAATTGCTAAAATAATTTACTACGTTTATATGATGGCGTTAAAACGGTTTGAAAWTAAATAGGTTTTAAATTCTTAAACTACATAGTGCAAGCGTTTTAACGCCACCTTATAAACGTAATAATTGATTCAAATGGATAATAAATAGTTTTATATCAAAATAAAACATATCTAAAACCGTGGTYGCTGTTCATTATGAATTACAACTACTTAAGTACTATAATATATATATATAGTTACATCTTATATGTAGATAATACKATTTAACCAAAATTAATGATGACTTCAAATCTCCATAATAATAAATTACTTTCTGGAATCTTTGTATAAAATAATCGATATTACAGTACCCATGATCATCATCATATTATTTTAATTTATAATAATTGCTAAATATTTATTATTAGTATTATCGATTAGATAAGAGCCTTACAATATTGTGACAAAATTCAAAACCGTTTACTTTTTTCACCAGTAAATTTTATGTTGGACATCGGACAGATATAGTAACTAGTAACTA